GAAAGAAATGGCCTCAGAGAACTTGGATACATGGGGGTATTTTTACCCTTTGGGGTTTTTTCTTCCTGAATTTCAATGAGTGACTTATTGGAAACTTCTTTGGGTTTGAAGTGTTTTTTTTCTAGTTCCACACACACGAAACTGTTTTGGGTTGTTTTGTTTGTCTTTGTTTATAATGCAGCTGAGATAGGGTGACTTGATATTTTTAAAATAGAAAACTGATGCCTTCTGAGGGAATAGGGGGAAGAGAGGAGGACTTTACTAGCTGGAAATGTGGGTCATACAAGGACAACTTGTTACTGTGAAGGTTGTGCTGGGTATGGGGGGGAGAATTTGGTGAAAGCTGTTGTGGAGGCAAGAGTAGTGCTGCTTCTCCTTGGGTGCCAAATCCACTGCTGCTACTCCCAAGTGCCAGATCCCAAGGGTCCCTATGCCACAGCCACGTATCTCTTTTTATTTATTAACTGTTTATTCCCCTCTTCCTTTTAAAGAAAATTCTAGATTAAATTTTTCCAAGCCGTGGAATTAGATATTATCAGGCACTGAATGGCAAGCAGGTGCCTTCAATTTCACTGACTGATATCCTACTATCCCCTATCATTCCATGGAAATAAACCTGAAACAAAAAAATATCTTGTCTTATCAGTGAGGTAAATGAATGGGATTACAGATTCAGTCTTTTAGTTGCTAAGATGCAGAACCCTTGAGAAAATGATCAGCATCTTGTCCCTTGTTTTGATCAATGCCAAAGCCTACAAGTCACTGGGAGTTAAGGAGCATCTTCTGGAGCCTGTTATGTGCTGGAGACTGCCCAGCACACCCTGAAGTGACAGCAGGTTTTCAGAGAAAGAAGTTGACAGCCAGTTGTCCAGCGTGTTACAGAACAGGAGTATAATATGTCAATGACAGAGTGTCCTCCAGGGATTACAAATCAAATGAACAGCATGAGTCTCCACAAGAGACCTCTACACTTGATGCCTATTGGGAAATGCACAGTGCTGTTTGCCATGCTGTGCAATTAAATTAATGAATAGTGTAAGGTATTCTACTTTTTCAAAACCGTCACCCTTGGGATAATTTAATAGTGTGAAAGGAATATTTCCTTGTCATTTCTATGTCTATATTAAAAATACTGTGCATATGCTAATATTGGCAAGTGATCACTTGAGGGTAAGTCTCTTTGATGGTAATCCTCTTTCCCTTTTCCCTTTTTCTCTGCTGTCACTGCCATTGCAAAGCTTCCAGAGTTTGCTATGGGAGCTATTCCAGCTGGAGACAAGGATTAGAAATTAATAAAATAAATTCTGTTGTCCTGAGATTTCTGAATAACGTGTTTGCATTGGTGCTGATGGATTCAAACACAAATTTAAATACGCTTTGCTGGCTCCTGCAGGTGGACTGAGAGGGAGAAGATAGCTTTGGTTTTCCATATCTATTATCACCTAATTTTGATTTTTTTGTTCTGAAATAGTTGAGGTTTCATATATTTTTTTGAGAAGTTTAGCAAAGGTGCACTTTGTGCAGATGCACTTGAAACATCAGCAGATGAACTCCAGGAAATAATGTTGGACAGGGCACTGTTACAGTCATCCTTTCTACCACTTCCTCTCAAACTGATATAAACAGATGCATGTTTTTATGTCCTTTCCCTTGGGAAAGGGAGAACTCTGAGCTCAAGTGATCAATATGTAGCTTTTCTGTGGTTACTTGGGAAACTTCATCCCTGAAATCCTTTTTAATCACATGTTATCTCACATCCTTTGACAGAATCCAGATTTTTGTTTTTCATCTACTGTAAGTTATAGAATCTGGCTAAAAGGAACAAATCTGGATGAGCTGGTTTATGCAAAAATAAAAACAGGTATGTGTGCTTGTGAAAACTAAGGAGTTTCAAAAAAGGGAAATAATTGTTTTCAAAATTATGATTAATTTTATATTTTAGATGAACTGTAGACTTCCATATTCATTTACTGCTCCTTGCAAACATTTTTCATGGGCTTTTTTTCCTCCAGCATTTTTAGCAGATTTATGGAAGCTGGATTTGATGCCTTTCTGGCATACCATGATTTCTCTTCATTTAGGAAGGCCCTGAGTGAGGCAGTCCTGTGTGAACACAAGGTGCAGTGGCTGTTTAGTGGTGATCAGTGCCAAGACATGTTGGTGTGCAATTCCTGGACTGTTTTTATGATTGTACTTATGATTTTACTGCAGCTCTGGACAAATCACATCTGGGAGGTTTTGGAGGGCATAGGTCTGGTGTTTATTTCCCACTGAGATGCAGTAACACGAGTGGTTAACAACCAGTTGTATTTTTCTGAATCACCATAGAGGGATTTCATTTCAGTTCAGTTTCCATGTTCTCCATCTTATCCAAATAAAATGTGAAGGTTTGGGGTTATCTTCTCTGGAACTACAGCTCTGCAAAAATACACTTGCAAAGGTCCCTCCAGAAGCAGTGGCAACTCGTTCTTGCAGCTGGAGCTGCTGGGCACCAGGTGAGCATGGATATGAAAAGGGTTCCTGAGCCACAGCTTCCATCTAGACACTAATGGAAGAGTAAGGTTTTGCACACCATGCTGCCAGATTTGCAGGTTTAGTAAATAAATTGTAAGGCAATTGATTGTTCAGAGGGCTGGGAGGAGGTGGGAGGTCTGTGGGGTTGTGTTTGTAGGACAGGAGAGAGATGGGATGTCAGTGCTGCGTGTCTGGAGCTGTGCTGGGAGATGCTCCTGGACCTTCCCCCAGCTTTGAGGGGCGAGGAGGACTTGTGAGGCCAAACATGGGGGTTGTTGGAGGTGAGAGCTGGTGTTTTCTAATGGTATTGAGAGCAATTTTAACAAAGCTGGGTGAAGGCAAACACTATTACAGGTACAAAATAATAGCGCTAGTCGAAAGGCACAATGGCCTTGTGGTGCACACAATGGAGAGGAATTGGGAGTTCTTGGATCAGTTTTTGACTTTGCCACAGGCCTGTGTTACTTTCAGGCAGTCACTTAATCTCTGCATCCACCATCTCTGAAGCAGCCAGGCTTGGAACATTTTGTGTCTCCGGAAGCATGTATCTAATTCAGTTGTTATTATCAAAGTTAAATATTAAAGAACTGTTGTGTTATCATAGGATAAAACCATGCCACACCATTTTCACTCTGAACTTTGTTCTTTTGCTATTACGTTGTTTTTCAGGAAAAGCAATGTTTTCACTGCATAAAAGTAAGTTAGGCAGAAATTTGTGATGTGTGTTGTGCGAGCTAAACTTGTAGATTTGATGTCTGACACTAAAATAAGAGATGCATGTTAAATGCCACTAGGAAGAATTCAAGGCTGATTGTTCAATAAAATGAAGCACAAGTCTGGGCATTTAAAGTAAACAAATAAGACTTCGTAGAGATCAGCTTTACAAAGCTGTTTGGAAAATTCATAAGAGTTAGACACACAACTTGTGTCTAACTGTAGTACTCCTCATCCCCTTGGTGACAGGCATGCTGCTCTGAATTAGTTGCTCAAACTTCCATTAATATTCTGTGTCAGTTAAGGAAATAACTTAGATAAGATCAATTTTCAAACATGTTTCTTCAGGAAGGAACTAAAGAGCAATCCTGGAAAATATCTACTGGAATGGAAAAAGTCTGATCTTTGGGAAAATAAAGGAGCTGCTCTGTGAGAGGAAAAATGTCAATGTATTTGGAGGACAGGCCAGTTTGTTTACCAAACGGTGCAACCTCCATGTCTGTCTTTGAAAGTGCATGATCAGTTTATGAGGAGGTGCTTTCAGGTTTAGGAAGCACTGGTAAATGTCAAAACTATTTACATTCTTCACATAATGGGACACAGAAACTGCCTGTGACAATTGGTTTGTCCATTTTGGGGAGAGGATGAATGTAGACTTTTGAGAAGCTGTTTGGCTTAATTGTGTTTTTCAGTATTCATTGATACTATGTGAGGTGGTAATTACCTAGTTGAAGTCTGGAGTAGGGTAACTCCCCAGTAGACATCTACAGCACTGTCCCAGACACCCCAACTGGAAGGATTTGGGCAACATGGGGCCATCCGTGTGCTGTTCCACACCATCAGTTCCTCCAGTCCCACCCTGCAGTGTCTTTGTTCTAGCTGATGAGAAGTTTTACAGCATAAAGGCAGCTTCTGAGGGATGGAACCCTGAGAGCCATACCTGTTCTCACCCCTCCAGCCCTAAACAGAGTATGACAATGATCCACATTTTTTACAGAATTTCAGATATTTCACCTGTGTTGTATCTACATTGTCACATGCACTGATGTGTCACCCCTGAAACATTTCTACTGCCCGGTTAAGTATTGTCTCAGCTATCTCAGTTTGCCCTCTAGAATGTTTTTGGGATTAAATATTCATTAGAAAAAGGAATCACCATTTTTCCCCTCCCTGAGTATTTAAAATGATCCATAGACTATATCATATTGGTTGTGAACAACTCCAGAACAATGCTTTGAGCAATTTTTGCTCCTAGATCGATAAAGCAGGCCACTTTCCAGAAGTTCCCATAAGCATGCCTGGAGCCTACTCAGGGAAGTATTCAGTTGGAAAATATTTCACCTTTAGTGGAAAAAAATTACCCATATTATTTGGATGCCTTTTGTAATGCAGAGACTGTTACAAACCTCAAAACCAGAGAGCTCCTCCAGCTTCTGAAACAGCTGCAGATCTGCCTGGTTGTGCTCTTGGATGGTTTGGTACAGCTGTCACAAAACAGAGCCTTGCTCTGAGGCGCCTCCATATTCCTGCATCTTCTGCTGGGACTGATGAGGCTGGTGATGTCTCTAACCTACCCTGAATCAGTTGTCTTCTTTACAGCAGTAGCATCTTCAACAACATCTGCTGTGTTCCTTCTGCTGGCAGAGGTTGTATTTTGTGTTATTGGGAGTAAATCAATATATCTGGCTATGTTTTTTATCATTCTGTGTGAACTTGAGTCTCTGGAGTCTAAAATGCTCTAAAATTGCTTTTCTTTCTTTCAGTGAAATTGTCAGGAAGAAAATACTGTTAAAAAGGAGGCATAGTTTAAATTTAAGGCATCAGCTGAGGTCTGCTGCACTGCAGGTTTTCATGTGGAGTTGCATAGCCATAGACTTCCAGCCGTACAGAGCCCTGCAACAAGTTAGACAAGAGGCACTGAGGCCTCTCCTGCAGGATTCCAGGAGAAGATTGATTTGTGCAGAAACTGCCCAAAGAAGTAGCAAAGTCACTGCTTGTAAGGGCCTGCTAGACTTTATATAGTGGTAGTGTAATAGGCTTTGGAAATACATAATATAATGGATCGTGTGTGATCAAGTAGGTCCTTTCTACCCATCTTCCCTTATACATGTGCTGAACCTTAAATACCACGTGACACTTAATCCACACTATCAGGCAAAAGGCTTCATTTTAAATTACTCATTTGAAGATCAAACAGTTTTTGTTCCTGATAGTGTCTCTGACAGTGAAAGATTACAGAATAATTTAATTAAAAAGCTCAAGCAAAGCACTAATAATACATGATATCTCACCAAACCCACAGACATCTCCCCTGCAGCTGTTGGATTTGCAAAAAAAACCCCAAAAAAACAGATAATAATATGGCTTTTAAGGATTAAGGATGCTTTCCAGCCTGAAATCTTTAGGTAATACACTACCAAAATATGATTCTTAATAGGAATATTGTGAGTAGCATCATTGTTTAGAAACCTAGCCAGCAAACATTGGATTAATCTATTTTTGTTGTTATCGTTGCAGGCTGGCAGTACTTCTCTCCAGATGCACCATTTGGCACATTAAGCAATTCTTTTCTTAGAAGGGGAACCTATGGTTTTGTCATGTAATGCAAAACACCAATGGAATCACTACATAAGCAAAATGCCAGTAATGGTACAGTGGTCCAGCCACAAACATTGGTATGTTAATTTTATTTTATTTTTCCTAGTGTGTCATCTGCATAGTACTGCATTTTGTATCAGGACTATGGCTGGACTGTTTAGTATCAGATTTTAAAGTGTTTTCAGCAAAAGATTTAAGGTAGGAAACTAATGGTCGGGGGGTTTTTTCTACTTAATATGGATGTAACTATAATTTTAGCTTGATTTTTGACACCAGGCCAAATTTTCCCCTCAATTTTATCTGTTCTATCATTCAGCTGTATGCATCCACTTTTCATAATGGTACCCAAATATGTTGAAAAACAAGTAGTTTACATTAAGGCTGTGACTTATATATGCCATTGCTATCCAGGACTAGATAAGACTAAGACGAGGCCTTAAAATTTTTTTCAAATCACTTGTAAGAAGATTAGTTAAATTACAGCATATGCAGTTTCTTTGTGTGAAGCAGTGCCTGGCCTTTCCATCTTCTGTGCTACTTTAGTTCTCCAATGGATGAGCCCCAGTCCTTGCAAAGGCAGCAGCAGGTCCCTCCCAGCTGGGGCTCCTCTGGGGGCTGAACAGCCCCAGCTCCCTCAGCCTTGCCTTGTCAGGGAGATGTCCCCTCCTCATCTCCGTTACCCTCCCCTGGAGCTGCTCCAGGAGCTCCAGGGCTTTCCTGTCCTGAGGGACCCTGAGCTGTCCTGGATGTGTGTTGAGGTAAGGAGTTCCCCAGCTGCTTCTTGCAAGGAGCTGAGGACTGATCACCGGGAAGCTTTCTCCAGATAATCATTCAGAGACTCAGGATAGTAAGGACAGATTTTTCACCTTGCACAAATGATAACAACATTGTTGGAATTTCCTTGTTTTGCAGGTGAAGGACAGAAAAGGAGCAAGGACATTCATCACATCCCTCTGACACTTTGACTTTCAGTCTGTCCACTGACTCTTTATGTGTATTAGAGTTTCTTCCCATCAACAGGCCTACCCTTTCCCCTGTCTGAAGCTTCCTATGGGATGAGCAGCAGGACAGCTGCCTTCCTCCTAGCCTTGTGGCCAAGGGAGGAAAAGGAGACTGGCCAGGCAAATTGCACATGTTTCCTTGGCAGGGTTGTTCTTTGCACCAGGAAAAGGTTGTCAGCCTGGGGAGAGAGCTGTGACATAGCCCTGCCTGACTGCCCAGCCTGACCCCTGCCTAGGGTTCTCTGGGATTTTTCTGTTTGTTACAACAAATATCCTGTAATTCAAGCTTTGTGTAAGTGGAGTCATACTCTGCTCAGTACAGTTTCAGTAGATAGGAGGTTTCTTTCTAGTTAATATGACAGGTGTTTAGTTTTTTTCCTGCCATTCACCAGAAATCTCACCTTTATTCCTCCCATGTTAAAAAAGTCAGCTCTGGCTTTTGATTGTCCATGGAGTCAGAAAATGACACTTTCTGATTACTCTTCCCGTGCCTAAAAGCAATGGAAAAGGAACAGTGAAAAAAAAAAAAAAAGAGTGATTTCCCTCCAGGTTTCTAATGAAATGGGGTTGCGTGGCCTTTCCAGTTTGATTAAGTCTGTAATTAATAATGACCAGGTGAGGCAGGGAAGTTATTTTTCTTTAGGATTTTTTCTGTCCCATGAATGCTGAGAAAGAATGCAAGGAAGGCACTTAATTGTGAGAACACTTTCCTGTTGGTATAATTCCTAAAATCTGGCCATGTTTTAAACTCCTGTGAGGAGCAAAATCTCATTATTTCTCCTCTAGAGTATTTCTGCCTTGGTCCTGCTCAGCCACGAAAAGGACAATGCTAATGCTGTGCCCTGTTTTGTTTTTTCTGATTTCTTTTTTTTTTTCTTTTTATTTCTTTTGAAGCAAACAACCCAGGGCGAAACATGGTTGTGAAGGTTTGCAGCTACACTTGGAGCTGGAGAAAGCCACTGCAGTAGTGGTGGGAGCTCAGCCATGTGGATTCAGCATTGAGGGGAAAAGGGATACACATTCAAGGTAAACTACTTTTTAAAAAGTTACTAGCTAAATGTTTCAACGTGTATTTAGTCTTTTCCCACTCCTATTTGTGTTGCAGGAAGTGATCATCTACCTTTGGGGTGCTTGGGGTGGGGGGATATTGAGGTAGACTATGAGATTAACACAAGACTGTTTATTTTTTAAAAAATGTGCAAATGTGTTTAAGTTTAAATTGGTGAGTACATGTAGCTCGCAGCACTGGAACTGTTTTACTCACCAGTATGTTATGATTAGGAGTCCACAAAAGAAATGTGTATTAGGCAATCAACCTGTGTAAAACTTTTCCCTGTGGCACACCAGCTACTCTTCATGTCTGCTGTATTTTCATAATAACTGAACTTAACATATTCTCCATTCCAAAGTTCATTCCATTTCTTAGTGCTTTTCAGTTAGAGGTGGCTATTCACACCTGGCTGCCTTCCAAATTGCATGTTGAAGGCATTTTTGAGGAAACTTGAAGTTTTAGAGTGTTAATAAAGGGCTGCCTGCTAACATAAAGTCAGATTTGTTCAATGTTAATGTAAAAGAGTAGGTAAGTAGTAAATACTGAAATATCAAAACAAATACAGATAATTTAAAAATATCACCCTGTGCTCAAGGTATATTGGTGACATTTCATGACCTATTTATTTTTCACTTAAAAGTTATGCACTGCCATATGCTGAGTATGTCAATTATGTCCCTTATACTGCTGCTGTTCATATATTAGAGGATTCTTCTATAGTTATACAAAATCATCTTATGTTCTTTTCCTTCAAAATCTTCCTTGAACCTGCACCTCAAGAATGCCTACAGATACAGTTCTGTCTACACCTCATCACAGGTACTTTTACAAAGCTTTTCTTTGTCCTTGTGTGCCCTTTGTCTTTTGACTGTCTGCCTGAATCTATATCTTCTCTCTTGACCTCTTTATTTGGGAGTTCTCTGAGGCAAGAGCCTCATACAGCACCTAGATAATGCTCACAGTACTGCTCACTCTCAATATATCCAACAGCACATGGTTTTTCCTAGGAAGGGTGAGTCCTTTCCTTAAGAGAGGAGTTAGATAGGTCTTTTATCTTAGTAATTGACTGGGAATGTTATTAGAGCTTTGGCATAAAACCAGTGCTCCCTTTACATGAGTTTTCACCTAGAAAGGGGTGTCAAGCTTATTGTTAGGACAGGCCTGCAGGCTCTCCCCTTTGCCTCACACCTGTCCACACCTCTTTGTCCAAAAACATCGAGGCTGTTGGACCATGTGCAAAATGCAGTTTTTGTGGGCTTGTTCTCCTGAATTCTGTGGTGTTAGGATTGGCTGTGTTGTGGACATTGGGAGGAGAATTATTCTGGTGCTGATTCTTGACCCACTGAGACCCAGTGGGTACATTTTCATTTGATTTACATGATCCACTGACAAGTATTATGATGGTATGTTGTTGCTTTCCAGGAAACAGGATGAAGGAGAAGAAAAAGACTGCAAGAAGTGGTTGGACTCAAGGGTCATAAGAGTTTTCTCCAACCTAAATGGTTCCCTTTAGTGGAAGGCTTTTTGTGTATTGGCAAAGAAGCTGGGTTCCAATAAGACCAAGACAACCTTTGCCACTTTTTCAAGATGTCTTGAAGCACATATAAAATTCAACTTCACATCAGTTTTAATATGCTTTTATACTACTAGACTCCACTTTAAGTCAAAAGCAACTCTTGGGTGAAGTTGGATTTAATGTAAAGAATAGCATTATGTCATCACATAGGAAAGTGCTTCTTAACCACCAAAATATATTTAAAATACTTTTCTGAGTAAATTTGTTGCTAATTATACTATATAAATTTAAGAGTGGAAACTTGGTTTCTCCATCATCATGGCTTGTATGTCTAATATTTTGCACTGAGCTTTGAGTGCAGCTGTAGTGCAGCTCTCCCTGGAAATCTGTTTTTGATCTAACCCCATTTTCTAGTTAAACATTTCAAATGAAATATACTGAGCAAGAAAAAGAGGACTACTTTGTTTGGAGTATTCTATGGGCAGAAGATTGCCTGAGGACTTCCTTATTGACTGTACCTTATCTTGCTGTGTATCCAGTAACAGATTGAGTTGGAGTGTAGGTAACTCAACCTCTGTTTAATTTTCTCTTTTTTTTTTTTTTTCATCTCCAGCTACATGGATTAGAGGTATAAAGATGTTGGTCTAAGTCACAAGAGTTTTGGAGACTGGAAATACTTGATTTCAGTAGTTGAATTTAAAGTTATCTGAAGGTAAATATCTCTTATCTAGAAGGTCTGTAAATTGTGTATTCATCTGATTTCCTTTCCTTACTGGTTATCATTTTCCTTTGGTGAGTGGTTCATTTGGCTTCCTAAGCAGAACTAGACAAACTCCTAAATCACTCCATGCTCTCAGTGAGCTGTGTCACCTTTCCTTTTTATTTTCCTTTATCATTCTTTTCATGCTTCCGGAACAATTGAGCTGAAGTATTGTGAAAGATTTCCTATCATCTTCTGTGTGCTTGTCTCGAACTTCATACCTTAAAATTCGGTGTGTTTGATATTCAGCTACTGTCTCTCTAATATTGCATGCATGGGGAGTTGGGATTTTTAACATGACTGCAAACATTACCTTTCCAATGATACCTTGTGTTGGATTAAAAGGTGCAAACACTGGAATTGTGAATACTGGAGTTATGTGCCCTTACCAGTCTGGGGACCTGTAACCTGCTGCTGGAAGTTCTTATTCAGGTTTCCCAAACGTAATACCTTGCTGGAATTCTCTGATAAATGGCTATTGTGTGTTGCTAAATAGTTTGTGTAGAGCCCAAAGCTGACTAAATTCCTATGATAGTCACAGTTTTCAAAAAGAATGTGAGTTATGGATACTGTAATTGTGTGGGCTTTTTTGCAAGTACCGTATGTGAATATTTGTTCTAATACTAAGTAATTATAGCAATAAATGTCATTAATATATTAGTTAATTCAGTGCTTTCTACTCTGAGAAGTCATTCTGAAAACATTCCACCTTTCCTCCATACCATTATCACTCCATAATACACCATTATCAGCAAATACCTGATAATATATCCCCATATGCTTGCTGTTGTGGAAGAAATTAATATTTATACTTTTACTGCTGCAAGCAGTGCCAGAGTGTGTGGCTGTCTCAGTTTTCGAATATGTCTTGGCATTTTTAACTATTTTGCTACTGTGGATGCAAATCCTGCCTTTAAATTAGTGTTGTCCTGTCTTATGAGAAACAGGGATTTGTCCACATTGAGTTGAAAGCCGGGTTTGACTCCTGGAATTTCTGTTCTCAGTAGTACCAATAGGCAAAATGAAAACTAGATTGACTCCTGTCAGTGTCCAGGTGAATTTTCTCAGCTTGGCAACACATAAGTTCTGTGTTGCACAGCAGATTGGTATGAGGAAGGATTGATGCACTAAATTCTCTAGGTTGACTGTATACTTTATGATCATACAATTCAATTTTTTTAAAAAAAAAAGAATATTCTCCCAGAAACACTAACTGGATCTTCTTACAATCCCTACCTGGTCTCTGCATGTGTGAACCTGATGGTTCTGCATTTATCCCAGCAAGGCCTGTGTGAAGACTTGTTTTCATCACAAGTCTTGATGTCCTTCCAGAGCTATTAAATTAAGAGGCTGGCATGCCCTCCTTTGAATGTGAGAGGTGTAGGAAGGAGGTGGAAGTTTTTTACCATTCACATGCATCTCAAATCATTTAAAAGCAAATTTGGAGGGATTATAGCAGCAAAGAATGTAGGTGCAGTCTTGAAGTCACATGAAAATAGCACTGCTTTATAGATCTCTATTAAAACTCTGACCATGCTGAGGTATCAATTTGTTGGCTGAGAACCTTTGAAAAACCTCAATTTCCATGTCACCTAAATGGAAGAGTGGGGTCCATCCTCTGGTTCTGTGGCCTTTTGAACTACTTTTACTCATGATGTTAGGGATGGTCCCCACTGCTGCATGACCTTCCCAAGTAGGAATATCGATACACTTCCAGTTAGGCTGAGGTAGAGGTTCACTGTTTGGTGGCAGTTGTGCAGTCTCCCCTGCCAAGGTTGTGCAGCTGCTTTGTATTTCATCTCGGGAGTAGCGCTTCCTTGAAACCAGTCTTCAGGAATCCAGTGTATAACTTGGAGAGGGGGAGGGCATCCTCAGTTTCATTAAAATTATATCCAGGACTTCTGTGGAGGAAAAGGCTTCGAGAAAGGGAAGAAGCCAGCATGCTATTAATGAAAACATTAGATTCCTTGCAGAACACCACTTGCTTTGCAAGGCAAACTCCAAAAAGAGGAAGAAGTCATTCTTGGGTTTCTGATTTCTGTGGCCCTTTGAGCTGATTTGCAGCAGTGAGAAAAGGTGCCAATATCTTTGTATTGTTTGGCAGAGAAAAGATTACCTTGTAACTCATCTTGTCTGGCTATGGCCTGGCACTGGATCATGACCAGGTTGATGGCAGCCTGACAGTTTTAAAAGAATATGTTGGCATTTTATGAAAAGGGAAGTTATTACACTTGAAAGGAAGTAAAAACAAAACCAGAAAACCTACGCTTGTCAGTTTTATGGCAGAGAGGCTGTAAAAATTCTGGCATGTTACTTCAGCCAATCTCTGCAACAAATTAGTCAGCTAAATTGATTACAAAATCAAAGATGGATTTACATAAGCATTTGTGTTTTATTTACCCTGCTCTTACACTGTGTCAGACACTCAAAAGAGTCAACCCCATGCCCCTTACAGTTAAAATTAGTTTACAGCCTACATTTGGATGTGTAGCAGCAAGAAGGGAGCATGGAAAGAAAAGAAGAGCATGGGAAGGGATGAGACCTCCTGGGTCACTGGCTCCAATCCCTCCCAGTCTCAGGAAACCACATTGTCTTACCCTCTTTCAGACTGTGTTATGGTCTTCTGACATACTGTTAGATGATACAAAAGATGGGGAGTTAAATTTACAGATTTGTCCCAGTTCAGTATAGTTTTTGTCTGTCTCTATTAACTGCAGGATTGGATCCACGCTGAGACTTATCACAAGTTTCTGCTGGTGGGCTCTGTTTCACAGCAGGAGATGTGCCAGGGAGCTGGGGACAGTGGAGACAAAGGCAGCACCATTAGTGAGCAAAGTATGAACAAGGAGGGTTTGGGGTAGCTCTTCCAGCAACTGAGAGAGGTATGAACTTGGAAAATAATGTTTCCAAACATTATCATTCCTCTTTCTGTTCCCAAGCTGCTGTCACAGGAGTGAAGCAGATCACTTTGCCCTGGGAAAGCCTAATCTGCATTACAGCCTAGGGTGAGCCAAGGAGGTTTGGGTGCTGTGGACAGGCTGAACTGATGGCAGAGGAGCCACATGCTGTGCCAACTGGGTGGCATTCCATTCCCATGCTAGCTCAAGTATTCCTATGTTGTGCACTACAGGTCCCTCAAAACTTTTTTATGCCATCCTTCAAAACCCTTCATCGAGTATCTTCATCTTCATGCTTGCTCAGTGTATAAGTGAGAGCTACAAATAAGGCTTGCTTGGTGGGTGCCATAGCCTCAAAAGCAGTTTTGAATTATTTTGCTTTGTCAGTCAGAACTGTAAACTGCAACTGTATGACTTTAGCTCCAGAGAGGATTGTGAGGAGCTCCTAGTCTTATAGCATGTTTTTAGTCAGGCAATGTAGCCAAAGAAAACGATGAAACCAGACTTCTTCTTGTGGTCAGAAAGAAACAATTTGCTTTGATTGAAGGCTCGGTGCTGTGGAGAGGCCTAGAGTTGTGAGCAGCTGCACAGGAACTGCAGGGATATGGGCTGGTGGTTGCCAACACAGCTTACCTCTGTCACAACTGAACCTACAGCATGATGAGGGAGAGCTGAGAGCAAGGCTTGGAGCTGAGAGACAGAGTTGTCACTTCTGGCAAAAGGGAGGTCTTGGCCAAAGTGATCCTTTCTTAAAGCCAACCAAGATTTCTGTATACTGAGTACAATTGCCTGAGTAGATGCAAATAATTTGGGATCAACTTTCTACAGGAGTTCTGGCTCCTGTCTTGGGAAGGACCATCCTGATGGTGGGAGCTTTGGGTCAGTAACATGTGCTGTTTCACCTGCCTGTGGCCAGAGAATCTATCACTTATGGCTCCATCCCTGCAGTGCCTGTGTCTTCTGGGAAATGCAGCCTTGTGTTCGGAGGCTGGCAGCTTTTTTTTTTCTTCAGGTCAGTGCAATTCTTGCCCCATCACAGTTATTCAACCCAAGTAGGTCCAAAGTCTCCTGTTCAGGTAAAACTGAAGAAATTTGAAAACATTTTCTTTAGATGCTGAAAACAAAGTCAGTTTGGTTTGTGATTGAACTCAATATAGGAAGTATGTTTTTGGTATGTTCGGATTCTTAAAGGATTTTAGACCTAAAGACACCTCCTAGTATGTAACTCCCAAACAGGTTTTTCCATGAGTTAAGAATCAAAAAATCCCTTTTCTGAGGTTTCAGAAAGGTTTTAGTCTTGTGCAAGTATTGTGGGAAAACCTAAGTATTACTTTATAGTTATTACTTATATTACTTAATTACTTATTTATTGATTTTTTAATGAAAAATGTTTTGTCTGTATGTTTGAGAAAGATGTGCTCAGATTTCGAGTCCAAATTTCACCTTAAGGACATTAGATGCTTATATTCAGACTTTGCCTTTTATTGTGGGTTTATTGGGGATGGTTCCCTAATTCCTGTTTTACAGATGGGAAATTCAAAATGCTTCTGAACCATTTTGGGGGTATTGTCAAGATAAATATTTGAGAAAAAAAAATAGCATGGTAATATAGAGTCAAAACTGACATATGTTGAGCACCCCAATGTCAATTGTCAAAATCTCTAGTTGCTTCATGAAAGCAAAGGTGAGTAGAGGAATCATCTTCCATTTAAAAATGAGATTTGCATAAAGCTGTGTTAAAACTGTATCTTGGGAATTTGTGCAAAAGGAATTTCTGCAGAGCTTGTTGTTAAGGAAATCTTGTGAGAAAATGTGCTAATTTTTGCTTTGAAGCCCTTGAGAATAGCCAAACCATGAATAAATGAAGTTTAGAGTGTGAGATTACTTTCAGAGCTCTACCATCCACCAGCTATCTGTCTGTAAGTCAATGAGGCAACTGTCTGTCTGTCCCTGTAAATCTGTGTGATGAAATATGGCCAAGACCAGCAAGAGCTGTGGATGGGGATGGGAATTGCCTGGCTGGGCTGCCTTGCTGCTCCAGGATACCATCAAGCTGTTCAAATAAAGATGAGCTGGGACAATGTCACAGCTGGCTGAGATGAGCATGGGAAAGAAAAATATGGTGACAGGAGATGCAGAAGTGACTCGGTGTGCTGGCATTCCTTTCTTTTCAGGGCAAAGACATGTGAAAGGGCTTGTCACTGACAGAAAGACCCTCTCACATTCTATTGTGGTGAAACTTTCGTCCTCCAAATAATACCATGAGTTGTATGTTTCAAGATGTAATTTGTGTATACATATTCTCACACCATGGGAATTCAGCATTGTGTCCTCACCCCATAGCCTCAGCAACTCAGAAATCTCTGGGTTTATTTGGGCACAGGATTGGGGTTTTGTGTATTTTTTAATTTTTAATGCATGTGTCTGGCAAATTGTTTTTCCTTCTAGTGTTAAATGATATGCAGGCTTAGATCCTTTTATTGTGCTTGATTAGCTGAAACTCATTGATAAATCCTTAAAAGGAGAAAGTTTTCTAATTTCCATAGAGTGACTGCACTAGGGGATTAGGAATCCTATCTTGCACCTCTAAACATCTAAGCTCAAACTTTCTGGTTAGTGTAAGCGAAGCTAATTCCCAGGAAAAAAATGAAACAGAGAAAGAAGATAATAGTATTTCTAAGAAAAGAAATGCAATATACAATGGGGGAGTTTATCCATCTGTATTCAACATGAAACCCTGTGTTGATTAGGGGTTTTGTGAAAAGTTGATTTTCCAGTTCAGCAAAACTTATAGAAAAACATTTGCTTCAGGTCAACTGCAGCTAGTTGCCCTCCCTCTTACTCATTAAAATGAAAAGCAAGTGTTCTCACTTCATTCAGCCTTGAGTGACCTTTTTGATCTAAAGCAGAGCTTCTCCCAGCGCTTGGTCCTGGTCACTGGACTCAGGAGGATTCTTAATTTCTCTGGTTACGATGGCAGTTGAGGTCACACATAACTCGGCCCCAAAAACAAGGAATGCAGTCCAGGGCCCCAGCCCCTGATGGATGTCTAACCAGTGGAATGTCATGGCCTGCACAATGAGTTTTCATCAGTCCCTTGAGAGGAGCAGCATCACTGTGTACAAGATGGGCCACAGATGAGAGTATGTTGATTTGTAGGTGGCAGGAAGGGAAAATGTCCCTGTGCTGGCACTGCTGAGACACTGCAAATCCTGTGGACAATTCTGGGGTCCCCGCTACAAGAAAGACCTTTTGGGGCTGGGGCATGCTCAGAGAAGGGAACGGAGTTGGGGAAGGGTCTGGAACACCAGGAGCAGCTGAGGGAGCTGGGGTGGCTCAGCCTGGAGAAAAGGAGGCTAAGGGTGGACCTTCTCGCTCTCTACAACTCCCTGACAGGAGGGTGTAGCCAGATTGGCATTGGTCTGTTCTCCCAAATAACAGGAGACAGGACAAAAGGAAATGGCCTCAAGCTGTGCCAGGGGAGGTTGAGTTGGCCATTAAGGAAAATTTCTTCACAGAAAGGGTTTTCAAGCAACAGAAAAGGCTGGCCAGAGAATAGTGAAGTCATTATCCCAAGTCATGGATATAGCACTTGGGGTCATGGTTTAGTGGTGGCCTTGGCAGTGTTAGATTAACAATTGGTCTTGATGTTTTTAGAGATCTTCCTAGGCTTAAATGATTTTGTGATTTATAGAACAGAACATTGCCAAGTAGCACTGGGATGCTACATTAGCTTCTGAATTGGTGAAAGCGTCAGTAGACTTCATTGACTGGTGGTGGAATAACTTTTCCAGATGGCCATAAATTGGCAATTTAATCACAGTGTTAAGGAGGGTTTATTTTTTCAGTAATAACTTTGGTTAATTTTATTATGTGTTTCACTTTTCAGTCCAGCAATCTTCAATGCTAGAAGAGTGGCTTCAAAAATTGAAGGGAGAAGGGGCATATAAAAGAGTGTTGAGCCTTAGGAATGGTGTCCTGCAGTGTCAGATCTTACAGAGCAGGCCAGCCAACATTTTTATGGTTCTTTTTGAAAAACCTGCCTTCTGCAAGTTTGGAAAAGAGAGCTCTGCTCATCTTCAGGGTGAAGCAGTGGTGCTGAGGTGGTCTTGTCACATGTAGATCCTTTGCTCTAGATGCTTTGGGGTTTGATAATGTGCCTGAGAAGGTATGAGATCATACCCTGACCTCATACCATCTGTTTAACAGATGGGTGTGTATGGCAAGGCTAACAGTTAAAAACCTGGCTCCACTTAGGTCAGTGGTATCAAGATTTTACCCACGATTGGAGGGGGAAGAGAAAAAAAGTGTCCAAAGATAGGTCTCCTAAGTCACTGCTGGGAAAGCCTGCAGGCTTTAGAGCCTTGTTTATTTACCCTTCTGTCATTTGGCTGATAGTTATTTGTGCTTGGCCCTTGGACAGAGTATTTGAACTTTATGTGTATGTCTGTATGTTTGTTGGTGCAGACTATTAATACATGTAACTGTTGAAAGATATGGAAGAAGTGCAGTTCTTATTTCCAGTGAAACTGTGAACTTTATAAACTGAGCTGGTATTGATCAGAATCCTGTTTGTCCATACAGTTCTGTAATGAATGTAGCACAAGTATCAACCATGTTTATTAGCAAGTCTAGGTGTTCTGTTTGCTGCACCAGACAAGATGATTGGGTTGTTTTCTTTTTAACTCAATTGTCCCCTTTTTTTTTTTTTCCTTTCTTTTCTTCTCTTTAAACACCCAACCATAGATCATCTGTGGATTTCTTTAACCCACAGAATACAATTGTTCTACCCTCACTGAAATGTTAAAAGTTTGTGGACTGGAACATGGCTGGGTGGGGCACTATTCAGTTTCCAGCCTAAAATCAGGCAATGGCTCCTAAAATACAGTCCTTGACAGATTAAACCCAGCTGTTGCACAGGTGCACTGAGGCTGTGCAGCAAGGAAGTTTACCCACTTATAAACTTCTGCCTGTGTGCGTCATTAAACTGAGATATTTTTGGATCTCAGCTATATTCTTTTTGGTTTTTTGATTAGGCAAGACAAGTGGTCTTCATTAAAACCACAGACAGCAGAATGGTTTAATCTAAATTCTCCCCTGTAATTGCAGAAAGACAAACACAAGCTTCATAATGCTCCAATTCTTCTAAGAGTAAAGCTTACAATGTCTTGTTTGTCTAATCTGACACTTCAGCATCCAGTCTGCACTGAAATAGTATGTGTGGAGTTAGATTTTATAGATTTTTCTCATTGACTCTGAAAGAGCTATGATATCCCATTAGGAATATGGTAAAGGGTGTAGAGAGTCAGACCTCTGTGGAGCTGCTGAGGGAGCTGGGGGGGCTCAGTGTGAAGAAAAGGAGTCTCAGGGGGACCTTCTGGCTCTCCACAGCTCCCTGACGGGAGGGTGCAGCCATGGTGTCAGGCTCTTTTCTCAGGGAACAAGGGACAGGACAAAAGGACACAGCCTCAAGCTGTGCCAGGGGAGGTTCAGGTTGTACATCAGAAGGAATTTCTTCACTGAAAGGGTGGTCAGGCACTGGCAAGGACTGCCTAGGGCAATGGTGGAGTCTCCATCCCTGGAGGTGTCCAAGGAACACCTGGATGTGGCATTTAGTACTCAGGGCTGGGTGACAAGGTGAAGATCAGTCACAGGCTGGACTTGATGACCTTGGAAATATTTTCCAACCTGAATGGACCTGTGATTCTATGGAATGGCTCAGGGAGTCAATTTAGTAGAAAAGTTGCTTTAAAGTAGTAGGATGGTATATTTTTCTGGGCAAATTCACATGCAGACCCAGACTTCTCTTGCCTTTGCAGAATTCTGTTGTGTAAGTAATGTGGAATAAACAATTTCCCAGCAGGCAGGAAACAGTGACTACAGTATATAACTTACCCATGGGTGGCTATTGGGGGAACCCCAGGTAATCCCATTTGTTCTTACTGATTCCAGCTGCAAGTCTGACTGAAAAGCAAGGAGAAGGAAAAAGCAATTAGTTCCCACATCTTTTTGTTTTATAAAGACAATTCTCCTAATGTGTGCAGCCAGTAATGACGGGTCTAATTGGAATCTTTGCCATAAGCCTTCCTGGCTCAAAGACAAAACTTGCAATGACCTTCCTTCCAGGTGACTGCTGTGGTCTGGAGGAGAAATATTAGCACTTCCATAATGATTAATAGAGGAGGGAGGTTGCAATTTTATGCAACTGTTTCCATACCACTGTGTGCTGCCTTTCTGATTGTTAACTTGGTCCTGAACACGACAGGAAGAAAAAAGAACATGTCTCTGCACAGGAATTGCAGAGACAATTGAAATTTTGTATTTTACTTTATATACTTCTCTTGGTGCTTCTCCCAGCCAGAGGTTCAGTCTGCACACCTGTTTTTTATAGCTACTGACATATGCATTGTCATTGCATTTCTCTGATGGTTTTTTTTATCTCAATCCCAAGACCTCCTGTATCAGTGAGGTCTACAATTTAATTATGTTTTGGAAGAAAGCACTTCCTCTGGTTTTTGATCTTATTATCTGATCATTGCATTAGATCTTCATTTGTACTGTATTTGGAAGCAGGCTCTTCTCGTAAGTTTGAATTTAATGGGCTCCAAACAGAAGTTTACCATGCTGATTCAATTACTATGTGCTACAGATTGTTGCAGGTCCTGAATGCTGAAGAGTTCCTGAAATACATCTACTTCCAAGCTGAAAATGGCTGCACAGCAAGGCAATAGCATTTCAACCCAAAAGTGCATGTAAGTCTTCATCAAGCTGCTATTGTCTGAAGTGGAATTTGGTGCAGAAATCCCATCTGGTGATCTATATTCTTGCAGAAAATGTCACCATGAGGAATTGAATGCTTCAGAAGAATTGAGGCTTCTTTTCATTCAAAAAGAAATGCTTTAAATAGTGTTATGAAGCAGGAGCTCACTACTGGGGTCAATCCTCTCCTTGAAGGCTTGAGGGCTGGTTAGGTTCAGGCTTTTAAATTGTGCCCACAGCTGATACAACAGTTAATTAATGGGATTGTGATCAGCAGCTTCAAATGCATCAGTCTGATCCCTGATGTTTCTGAGATGGACATTAGCAAACATGGAACTTAAACTGTATAGAACCTTCACTTTTGCTGTGAATAGGCTTTAAAGAGCCTTTTAAGGACACTTCACTTGTTTACCAAGGTCTGCTTTTTTTGTGTTTCCATTTTAAAATAGACTAGTGTATGTTTCTTACTTCTTGTTACATTTACATTAATTTTTATTTCACTATTTCACTAAATCCATCAGTCTTGTTGCTGAGAATACAAACTCTTTTACTTCTCCTCAGCTGATATGTAGTTGAATATGTATTATCCCATGTATAAGGGACTGGAGAATTGGATTTTGATCCAGTCCCACAGCTGACTTTCTGCTATGGGCTGTGGATGTCAATAATGTGAAATTAAAAAAGTAGATGTAAACTATTGTAAGAACACATTTGTTAGGGTTACTGTATTATGCAGTAGATTTCACTGTATGAGAAATCTGTTATCAAGGTAGAATGTATTTTGAACTTGAATTCTTCAGAAAGTAACCTATAGATAAAGCTGTGATAGCATCAGAAAAATAGTTATCTTAAATTCATATTTGAATGAATGATAAATTCAATGCCATAGTTCTCAGGAGGGTTGTTTCTGTGTTTTCAATAAATTCTATTGAAGGATGATGTAGGTCCCTCTAGCTTCCCTCATTATGGCTGATATTCTGCTGGGATGCATGTGACTTTTCTCATGACTCCAGTCTCACTTTAGGCACACCACAAACTCAGGAAAACAATTTTTAAACTTATTTAAGTTGTCCTCTAAATCACTGAATCATATGATGGTTAGACCTTAAAGACCATGTAGTTTCAACCCCCTGCCATGGTGTGTACAAGCTTCTAGTGCAACTGTCATAGGGAAAAAAAAAAAGCACAATTGTTCTGGTTTTATTTAATAAAACCTGCAAAGTCCAGCACAGGTGATTGAATTCCCAGCCTTCTGCCAGTACAAAAAACTGTTCATTTCCATTTGGTTTTTCCTCAGGTACTCCTATGGGGGAAAAAAATTATTCATCTCTACTCCAAAAGTACTTGTGAACTTTTTTTTTGAAAGTTGGTGGGAAATCCTCTTAGTCCTTTGGGTAACAGGACAGTGAGCTCTTTCACTTGGCATCTGCAGCTTTGGAACACCTGAGTTGAAAAGCCTGTGCTTGGCATCTGCCTATAAACAAGACTGCTTCTATTTCTTTCACAAGTCTATGTGTTTGCAGAAGGACTTTTGTTTTTCTGTGTCTGTGTGACTGAAGGAGAAAAGGGCAACTGGAGTAAAAGGTGAGGAAGACGTTATTTGCATTTTTTTATTTTACTTTAGGCTTATTTTTTTTAGTATGGTAAATGTAAAATCCATGCTCTGATCTGCAACTCACCATTTTCTATGATTTCCCTTATTTTTTGTACTTCCCTTGAGATCAGTGGTGCCAAACTTTTTAATATACCTTCATACAGAAAAGTTTTTGTACAACAAATCATTTCTCTAACAGCTATTTACTGTGGGGATGATGGTAAAGCATATTCCAAACCATTTAATTTAAAGTGCAGTGTCTGTGACTGCTTTCCTTGTCACCATTGCTCAGTATGAGGTTCTCATCATATTTTTTTTCAGTAATAGGTGAAGTTATAGTTTCAAAATGAGTTTGACAAACTCACTGAGTTTGGAAAAACAATAAATTCATCCCAGTTTAACCCAGCAGCTAATTTATAATGTTTGTCCCTGGACTTTGTGTCAGGTATTGTTCCAAATTCTCCATGCAGCTGTGGCATTACTCTTCTGTCCTGACTTGTAATGACCTCTGATATTCCAGCCCAGGCTTTCTCTTAAGCAGAACTTTCCAGTTGTGCAGGATTGTATGGTGGTTTTTCACTGTTGACAGAAGTCCACTAGGATGCAAACCACCAAACTCATTCTCACTGTGACCTAAACCAGGATTTAAACTGAAGTCTCTGGAGGTGAAAAACCAGACTACTAACAAGTGATGGGAGAGCCTCACATAGCTTGGTTCAGATAAAATCTAAATGTTCAGCTTTTCTGAAACCATTTTGGTTCAGAAACCATCATTTCAGTCCCATGAGAGTAGTTTGCCTTTTCTGATTTATTGCATAATCAGATTGGGACTCCACTTCTGAAACACCAACAAAACCAGCTTTTTTTTTTTCTTTCTGTAATGATTTTGACTAAAACCAGTGAGAATAGACATGCATGAAAACATTAAAAGAAAGAAAAAACACATTAAAAAGGCCTCATGCTTTGCAATCTCAAGCACTGGGTTTGTTTTCCAGAAAACAATCTAGAAATGTTTCCTCTTACCTGAAATTTTGTTTTCCATAGTAGTAAGTTACAATGAGAGAAGCAAAACTCTAGTCCTTATGCCAGTGGGGTCTAGAAGAAGGACTGGGTTTAAATAGACATTAGAAAAAGAAGTTGATAGTAAGAATTTGAATCACTGGGATCAGATTGCCCAGGAAATGGGTGTAATTTCTATCACTGAACATGAGAGTAGCTAAATAAAGGTTTTGGAGAACAGAAGCATTTAGGGCTGGTCTTAGGATACGAGCGTGCATTATAAATTGTCTTCAGATGGCTTCCAGGTTTATGATTCTGTAATTTCTTGTCTGATGCAACAAAATTCTCAAGTGTATTGATCTTCATGTGAAAATATCATACTGAAAAAACCCTATCTCTTAAAGGTCCCTCATAATTTGCTTTATTGGAATAGCTTAGCAAAGACTTTTCCGTTAAAATCATGGCAGCCTTTGCTTGTTGGGGCTTCATTTTGGTCTTCCAGAAAACCTTTGCACAAAGCACTTGGGAAATGCTAATTGACTAGTAACTATATCCTGAAATTGCTGCTCTGATTTTAACCCCAAAAGAGTGGTTTATTTTACATACTGAAATGAATAGGGTGTTTCCACTTCCCTTATTCTTGATACTCAAAAGTTTAAATATGTGTGGGAGAGACGTGCAGAGGAAGAACTGATGATGTGAGAAGTACTAGATACAACTACTGGAAACAGTGGTTCCAGTAGATGAGACCCACTCAGATAATAAAAATGTGACTCACTCACTCATGTGCTAACAGAGAAGTCAAATTTTCTCTAACCAACTGTTTTTAAATTTTCTACATAAACACAATGATGCATCAGGATATGTCTAAAAATAATTCCTCCTCCTGTGGCGGATATATCCACAAACCCTGCACAAAACCACTTGTACTTCTCAAACACAGCTACTGGGCTGTGAAGCCGTGGGTGAGTGAATGGGTTTGGTTAAGATGAGTTTCAATCAAACTTTAGTTAAATATAAGAAAAAAAATAATCTGTAGAATGTCTGTTCTGAAGGGAATCAATGAACTGAACGTGCTACCATGGTTCCTTCATTAACACAGGTTTGTCAAATCTTACTGCTCATTGGTGTGATGAGCTTCTCTGAGTTTCTCCTATTTTTGCTGGAGTCTGGAAGTGCTATGTCTTTCTTAGCATAGCTGTGTGCCTTCCCAAGATCTATTAAATGTCCCTTATCTGAGCTGAATAGTTTCATACAAAAATTTAATTCAGCTGAACTGACATATGGCAAAAAAGGTCACTGGAGCTGTTAGTTTTGCTGTGGTCAGCTTGAGTAGAAGCTGGCTGAAAGAGCAAGATAATGTTTGAATGTGATGTAGGGAAAGTGATGTTACACGGGAAAGCAGAAAAGAAGTTCATTCTTACATTTCTGATTTTGCTTTTTATAAATCAGCTCATAAGCATGTATTGATCTGCTATTGCTCTACTGACCTACTGCTGTGTAGCTTGGTGAGAGAAGAAACATTCTGACTGTATGTATGCCTCTTTTTGTTGCAGTGTTCGCTGGGACTGGTTGAAGTGCACACAGGTGATGGTTCTGTACTGGGGCCTGCATGGCCAGGAGTTTTGGGGTTGGCTGTGGAGCTGGACACATATGTGGGAGATGTCATCTATAAAACCTTAGACTGGCTTTTGCATGTGGAATTGTTTGTTGTTGTTGTTTAGAAGTTGTTCATTGTAGAATTGCACTGGCTGGTTTTTTGTGTGTTCCAATTGAATGTTTGATTGTCATAAGCATTATCTCTATTTTTGTAGTCCCTTACTCATTTGTTTGTTGCTATTGATGCATTGTTTGTAAGTTTAATAATCCCTTTTAAGTTTGTTACTTTCGAGGTTTTCAAAGCAAATCCCCTCACCAGCAGCATCTTACAAAGAATTTTTAACCTGCCCCAGAAGACTTGTAACTTGACACCACAGCAATGGTGCATACTAATGAGGAACTTTCCCTCCAAAACCTCAGTTACCCCAAGGACAGCAAACTGTTGGAGGAGAAGATGTTCCCAGCACCAATCAACAATAACTATAGGGGTGGGACTGCCAGCAACAAGCTGAGGGGACAGAGATTATAAAAGGAGCTGTGAAGTTTGAAGAACTGCCCTTTAACTGTGGATTAGCAGCTGAGGACCCGACACTGCAGACTTTGGTCTACATCTCTTTTAGAGACTTTTTTATATAAATTTGAGTGCAGATTAGCTGCATTCACTGCAGTGCCACTGAGTTCTTGCTTTGGGACCAAAATGCCGGTTCGGCCAGAGGATTCCTCAATCCTCCGACCCGGGACTTTTTTAAATTTCTTTTCGTTTTTTCTCCCTCACCCATTATCCCTTCCTCCCCTTTGTTTTTTTCCCTTAATATTAACACCCCAAAGTTGTGTCTTTTTCCTCACAGAGAGGATGCGACAGGGCAGTGTTGAGGTTTGTCATCATGTGGAAGCCCTGCTTTCTGTGAATCACTGAAGTCAGTGACAGGCTTTCTGCTGTCCTCTATAGGAGCTCCTTCTGTGGACCATCAGGAGGTCAAAATCATGGAATCACAGAATGGTTTGGCTTGGAGGAGACCTTAAAGCTCACCCCATCCCATCCTCTGTTATGGGCCAAAGGTATCTTTCACTATCCCAAGTTGCTCCAAGTGCCATCCACCCTGGCCTTGGACACTTCCAGGGGTGGGGCAGCCACAGCTTCTCCAGACAAACTGAGGCCTCACCACCCTCACAGGGAAGGTTTTCTTCCTAACAGCCAATCAAAGCCTACTCTCTGTCGGTGTGAGGCCATTCCCCTTGTCCTGTCATTCCAGGTCCTTGTCAGTAATTTCTCTCCATCTTTGTTCCAGGTTCCCTTTAGGTACTGGAAGGCCACAATGAGGTCACCCTGCAGTTTCTCTTCTCCAGAATGAAAAAACCAAATTCTCTTAGCCTTTCCTCACAGCAAAGCTGCACCATCCCTCTGGTCATCTTGGTGCCTCCTCTGAACCCTCTCCAGCAGCTCCCTGTCCATTCTGTGCTGGGACCCTAGGGCTTGAGGCAGCTCTGCAGGTGGGGTCTCACCTAAGGGTACCAACTGCCCCTGAGCAACATAAACCACTCAGTAAGTGATAGAGGTTGTAAAGCCTGACATGAGGAACTCAGCTGCCATAGTTTCACTGAAAACTGTGTTACAAAAGAGCTGCTTTTTGTTACACTTGCTCTAAACCTGCCTTGCGAGCTCCACAGCGCCAGGCATCATTCCTGCAGCTGACCCCACACACACACCTGGGTGAAAGCCCAATATTTCTGGGCTTTTATAAATCCAGATGTCAGAGTTCCATCTTAGATTCCTCTTGAGCCATGGAAAACTGTATTCTTAAGAGAGTTAGCTCAGCACCCTGCAAAAATGAGTTATTGTGGTCTAAATTAATAATAGGCATCAGTTTTGGATTTTCAAGTCTTCTGAAATGACATAATCCTGGTCCCATTTAAGCCACTGTTGGGATTGAGGTGGGCTAGAGTTAGATGTGAAAAAAAGTGCTTTCAGAAATCCCATCCTAAGTACAGAAGAGCTAGGGGTGTCAATGTGATGCGTTCTTGAAAAGAAATAAAAAAACAAACCCATTTGAAGTATGGCTTCAAGATATTCTGTCATTTAATGAACAGATGTGTTTCACAGATATGTACAGTTCCTATAAAGATAAATTCAGCATTAAAGCTTGAAAGATTAACAGTAATCTTTTACAAGTTAAAAAAAAAAAAAATCTGGATGGGTGTTTCAAAGCAGTTCTAAATTTTAAATATAAAATAGTAAGTGTTGCATGGGTTGTATTTTGCCTTAATCCTCAAGTGCATAATCCTGAAATAAATTTTGAGCTAAGTCCCCTATGACCAGAAATATTCCTTTAAACTCTAGGGACTGAGCCAGCTATAGTTTCCTTTTATGCCAGCTAGCCAGATGTGTTTTAAAGAAATAAAATTCTATTCTAAGAAAAATAAATTCAAAACTCTTTACCATAAAGTCTAAAAAATAAAGCTAAAAACCAACATGGACTTTATTTCCACAGCAGCACAGAATAACTATGAAAAAATCTGTGTCACATGGGATCAGAACTGTTGTTTTCATTGCAGGGCATTACCTGGGCAAGGACCAGGGCAATTGCCTGGACACACACAGGAAAAAAATTGCTGCAGGGGTTTTATATTTGATAGTGATATCTCCTTTCTTATATAGCACTGAAACCTTTTTGACCAAAAATCCCAGAAAGTTTTGAAAGTTCCATTGCTTGGCTGAGTTTCAAGAAGCTTTTCTTTGACTGAAAAGCTGTAAATAATGAAAGATAAGCATTGAGAGGGTCTGATTCTGAATGCAGGGAATCTGACTCAGTGCTGGGAGCTTCCCCTGGCCTGGCACATTGGTATTGGGATCACACACAACACTGACTCCTGGTAGTGACTCCTAGCAGTGATTTACAAACAGGGGCTTAGAACTGTTCTGAAATTACACCCTCAAATGCATGCTGGTGCCCTGGTTTTCTCTCATTCTCCTCCACCATCCTTTCCTTCCATTCCCTTTTCTATACTCCTCTGTTGGGAATATTCATTCATGACCCCTGCTGCCTTTTTTCCCCTATTTGCTGCCATTTAGCATTACACCAGCAGAAAATTACTGCAGGAGTGACTTCCATAAAGCAGCAAGTAAACTTCAAATCAAGGAACAGTTTCAAAGATGGGTTTGTTATGTTCCTGTGAATATATCATATCTATAATGAGGGTTTGGATACTTCAACATATGCCATAGGGGTAACCTCATCGTTACCCACCCACAGTGACTCTGATCTTGAGTGATCTCATTCCATATCCTCAGCATAGTTCTGGCATGTTCCCTCTGTATGGAGGGGCAAATAGAGAATGACCTTCCTTTGAAATCCTAGATGTATTTACATAAGACCATGCCAAATGCATTAACAAGTGCTGGAGTGGAAACCCGGAGTGAGTAAACATGGTCAGCCCGAACACATGTAAATATATCCAAAATTTTGTAGTATATCATGCTTTGATTTATACCATAAACTATAGGAAATACAAGGCCAGTAAGAATCTACTCTATTCATTTTTTTTTAATTGGTATTTTTTCATGGCATAGCATGTCACACTCTCAGGGAACTTTTAAATTTCCTCTTTGCAAAGTGGATTTTGTTCAGGTGACAACCCTGTTTTGTTGTGACTGACATGGCACTTCTTTGCACACAGTAGCAGCTCCTGGTGGTGGTTATTTGTGATGTTGCACTCTCCTATATTCCTCCTTATCTGCTGCACTCCTGCTCAGAGAAAAAGAGAAGGCTGCTGCTCCTAAGCTTGCAGTAGATATTTGGCCGAGTGCTTTCCTGGTTTTGGACGGGCGTTCCTCCTCGGAGCAGCATGCCTAGGCTTTGAGAGGCACGTTATGATGAGTGAACAGCTATATGAGGAACTTTCAAACTTTAAATCATATCCAAGGAACCTCCAGTAATAAGGGCTTCAGCTTCTACCCACAAGTGGTCCTGCGGGAGAACTGTTCTTTGGCTTTTATTTCCTGAAAGGAAGGATTGTATGGCAGGGTTGGGGCTTCGGGGTCTGTATAATCAAGGCTCGGCATGATGAATTTGATGTACTGGCATCTGTTCTGTGTGCTTTGTAAGGCTTCCAATAAAATATGAATTAAAAAGAAATATGCTTCATATGCCTATATAGGACATATGGCAGTTAAAACTTTAGATATGGCATTTTTGTTGAGTTAAGAAGGAGGTGCTAGAACACACATAAGTTGCACAGTACTTACAAAAAACAGAAAGGCAGAGAAAATTTAGGAAGCCAGTCAATGTAGATCTGACCTTCTGTGGGGGAGTGGATTCTCTGGGGTGCCAGGGTTTGCTTCAAGCTTAACGCACCTTTGAAAACTGAACCTCCAGATTGCATCATGTTACTGCATATAATCCTTCAAAGAGGGCAAGGTGTGAAAACAAGCTAATAAATGTGTAAGGGCTAAAGGAAGAATTTTACAGATCAGAGTCAAGGTTGCCAGCCTTTCCCCACCACAAAACCCCAACATCCCTCTCCAGGAACTCGGCCCAGAATATTAGTTTTGGATGACTGCCTTTGCAAGTCAGTACAGCACAGATGAGGACCCTCCCCCATTATCAACTTCCAGCCCTTCTATGAGTGCAGAAAAGGCAAAAATAAAAGATGAGGCTGCAGTTTGGGTGGTTTTCGTCTGCAATGGATTGTTCAGCACTGCCAATATGCCCTGTCTTTCCATTGTGATAATTAGAAACATGATTATGTAAATCAGTTGTTTCCTATCTTGCTTGTGTTTCGTCCCAAAGCAAAACCAAAGAGTCACTTTTTCTTCCTTGAGCTGTTTCTTCAACTCCTTCTCCTGGCTCCTCCTTCAGGGCTCTCCTGCCAGAGCTGCAGCCCAGCCCCAATGTGGAACAGACCAGAGAAGGAGTCCTGGGAGCCGTGCCAGGAGCCTCCCCGTACTGCACAAGGGTGACATTGCAGCCCAGCCCTCACTCCTGGTCCCACAGCTGTGGGCACTGCCTGATCCCTGTCTGGGAACAGAAAATTTTGGCAACACCTCTGAGAAGCCCTTTGAAATTTTGGGGGTTACACCCATAAAGCAAAGGGTTGTTAGAGCTTTCTGCATTTGAACTCCTCCACGTGCCATTCGTAGGTTTCTGAAGGAGCTACTGAAAAAGACAGCACTCTTCCCCTGGAGGTGATCCAAGGGAATATTTGTGGAAGATACTTCACAAGCAGTGGGTATTTTATGAATCCCCTGCCTCAAATTTATGACATTAATTGAACAGAAGATGAAATGCTTTGTAAAATGATTTGGTTTCAGTCATTCAAGCTGATCATGAGCTATCCGCTGTTCAGACTGGCTGCTTGCAAGGGCAAGATATCCCCCTTAAAGAGTTTTTAAGTTCAGTGCACTGGACTGACAGAAAACAGTTTATCACCATCCTGTACCATCCCCTTGGAGAGCTTTCTCTGGTCCCAGCACCATGTGGTCCATTCAACATGGTGCCTCTGTTTCTGCTCTTCCTGAATCCCCCAAGACTATGAAATATCTGGGTTTGTTCTGCTTTTCTCCTGGCCCAGAAATGTCCTTTCCTGTATTTCACCTGGGACATAACTCACCGTAGCAGCACTAACCTGTATTCCACAGCTGGAAACAGTCTCCTGGGGACAAAGACCAAAGGCTGCTCCTGCTTCTCAATATTCTTCAGCATATGGGTAGTCTGAAGCCAGAACCCTATGAGGGAAAACTTTTGAGGAAGGAAAATGTTTAAGAAGGACCTGAGGCCCCTGCTGGGCCAGCTATCCCTGAGCTACCAGTGCTCTGGGGGACAAGAGGGCCACTGGAACCCTGGGCTGCATCAGGAAGAGCAGTGCCAGCAGGTCAGGGAGTGATGCTGCCCCTCTGCTCAGCCCTGTGAGGCACATCTGGAGCGGGGCCAGCAGAGGCTGCAGAGATGAAGGACCTGGAGCATCTCCCTGACATGAGACAGAACTTCTGTCCTGGGCAGTGACTGAGCCCTGAACAGATTGTCCAGAGAGGGTGGGGAGTCTCCTCACTGGAGATATTCCAGATCCCTCTGGACACAATCCTGGGCTGTGTGCTCTGGGATGGCCCTGCTGGAGCAAGGGTGTGGGAGATGAGATCCCTTCCAACCTTACCCAGCCTGTGATTCTGTGTAAAAAGAAAAAAAATTTAATTTCTCTTTCAGAGTAAACAAAGTGCAACTAATTTTTAATAGTGCAAACGTAATTTATGGCAGTGCAATTTCTGCCAGCTTTAAGGGCTTTTATTGCTGGAAACAGACAAGTGAAAAGCTGTGTGAGGTGAATATGAACTGCACATGAATGGGATTGGAAGAGAAACAGAAAATGCTTCAGTTTGTTTTATATCAAGGCAGAAACCATCTACCTGCAGTATGTTGGGGAAATATATTCTTGGTGCCCAGTCAGAGGCATCTGGATACCATCACAGTGTACACACATTGATTACCTGTTCCTTTCTCTAGGACAGCTCCCCTCCCTGCAACCTTCTTGCCAGAGGATATGGCAGCAATGACTGCAGGCCTTGCTGGGCACAGTTCAGTATTGCATACATATGACCCCATGAAACCAAAACATACTCTCAAAGAGCTCTTGTACTCCAGGCCTTCCACTTCAGGAAGGATATTCAATTTCAAAGTATATTTACATATTTACTATAGCACTTCCAAGAGCAGGGTTTTTTTAAAAAGGTTATAGCAACATCTGTTTGCCTTTGATGGAGACAATTCCTCTTCCTTATGTTTCCTATGCTGTTGAACTTCTGAATCTTACAGAAATCTTCAGCTTTTTAAAGGTTTGATAGTTTTTGGAGTAAGTGGTTGGAAACTAGTTGTCTGCAGAGTATTCACAGATGAAACTAATAGTACAGCAGTGTGCCTTTAAAGTGTGTTGCATTTGCTGAATGTAAAGAAAAAAGCACAGTCTGACTATATCTGTGGCTCATACTATGCTGTGTGTGATATGTGACAGGACAAGAATGAGTTTTCTGGTTACTCCATAGCAATGAAGTAGGCAAAAGGTGGGCAAGAAATTCAACAGACAAGTAGTGTTGTGAATCCTTTGTGGAATATTCAGTGTTCAGGACTCATGAGTCTAACAACGAGATGAGTGGTTTAAAAATGTGAGATGCAAAATATGAAGCTAGGAGGGTTGAACCTTGGACACAAACACTGGTTACACCTTCTAGCTATATTTTGCAGCTATCTGATTCGGCAATATATTTTTCTCTAAAAAGTAGAGGTCTGAATTCCTAGTGGCTGTAAAATGTATCAGCATCAAATGCTGTGAGATGTGTCAGTGCAGCTCCATAGAAACAGGTCAATTTTGTTTAACTGTCAGCTATACAGTCTGTGTTCCCCTGAATATAGAAAAGCACTTTATAATAATTCATTGGAGTATGCTAAAATGAGAGACAGTATTTCTATGTGATTAGAGTTACAGTAATAAAACCCTCACAAAATATGAACTGGTTAATGAAAAGCAAATACATCATTCTTACCTTCACCTCAGCTGCTGTTTGTTGTTAAGTTAAGCATGAACTTTGGGGAAGCTCCTTTTATCCTTGCTCCCACACTTTTCTATTTTGTATTTGCTCTGGAAACTCTGTCTTTCAGCTGGAAGTAGATATGGCACAAAAGCAGCATATTCCTTTGGGAGCTACAGAAGAGCAGAGTAGAAAAGAGACAAGTTTGGTCCAGCAGTCAAAGGGGAAAAAAGTAGCTTGGGGCAACTCTTCTGCAGTCTCACCACCCCTTTTCAGCATTCATAAAACTGCACATGAGTTTTCCAAATTGGGCTTGAGGGGTCTATCAGGTGAAGAGAGGCAGACTTGCAGGGTCCACAGCTTTGGGAATGTAACTGCTCTGACAGCAAATGCACAACACTAAGACGGTTGTGCTTTGATACAGAGGAACAGAAAGGGCAAGGAGTAGAGAAATGTGAATCCTAGTCCCAGTTCTGACTCTAACTGCAGATGTCCAGAGGATGGAGTAAGGCTCTGCCCTTCACTTTGAAAAATTCTTTCAGTGAACATGGAAGAATGTAGAAATTGAAAAAATGCAGAGAATTAAGCTAAGTCCTCTCAGATATTAACCCAAAGTGAAATTGCAAGTATGGTGGGTTTTGTTGGCATGTGCTGGAGTGAAAGCATAGGTAGAAGTGGGGAGAAGAACCACAATTTTAGGTTTATTTCTTAAATGCTTTCAAGAGGCAGTCTAGAGCCAAGGATTATTATTTTTACTCTAAGATATATGTTGGAGGACAAAGCCTACCACACAAAGAGCATCTTACCAGGTTGGATGGTACAGCTGGGCAGCTGGGGAGTTGGAGCATTAGTTATCAGCACAAAACAGGCCTATTCTCAGAAGGCAGCTCACCCAAGGCTGTTAATACACTTGTCTAAGGAGAAGGAGGAGGATGATGTTCTCCCCTTGTTCAAGGCATCTCTTCATGTTCCTTCCTGTACCCTTGAAGGGAGTATAGATGGTCGTGTGTCTTCCAAAGAGCTTTAATAGTCTACAAGTAAGATTTGCTGGACTTTGTAATCACCTCTCTCTTCTAAAAGGAATGAAGGGGAGAAGCAATTTCTGGTAATATCTGAATGAAGATCATTTGGTATAGTGAAAGTTCTTTATCCCACAGCTACAATTATCTCATATAAACAAAACCTTGTGGGTTTGTCCCATAAAAAGGATTTCTCTGATTTTTCTGTGTGCTAAACCATCTCATTTGAATTATACCAGGGATTAGCCTGGGAAATGTAACACAAATGACTGATTTTTTTTATTTTTTTTTAATAGATCAAAACGCCTTTTCAGTTTGTGAAAGCCTTTTTCCCATAATTGATATTATTCCTTCTATTTCTTCTAAGTCCTTAGAGGATTATGAATGTCAGTATTAGAATAAAAGAAAGATTGCTTTAGATAATTTTATGTGCAGGGCTCTGTTCCAAAGGAACCAAACTCACATGGGGATCTTTGAGAACACGATTAAAGGGACATGATGAAAATAAGGTGGGGGTGAAGAAGACCAAAGGAGGGGTGGGTAGAAGAAAAATCTACAAATCAGACTCAGCATAGGTTTCTAGTACAGCTGACAGTCAGTACAGCTGCACTTTTGGTCATTACAATCCATCTGGAA